AGCATCCTCCCGCAGCCCTGTCCCCAACCCCGAAATCCTCCCGACCGCTTGCCCGTGCCCTGACCGACAGGTCTGCTTCCAGCCCGCAGGACCTGGGCTCTTCCCTATCTCCATGACCTGAAGCTTTCACTCGCTGCTGGCCCTCTCTTGGGATGAGACATCCTTCTGAAGGGATGATGCATGGTGGGAAAGCATTAATTTGGGATTGCTCTTCACTACCAAGGCCACGCTTGAACCCTATCATTGAGGAGTCACGACACAAAGCGCGGTGCCTTTGCAGCAAGCTGAAGTACCCAAGACAATCTCATCGCTGCTGAAATCTTTTTCCGTCTTCTGCAGCAGGCTCAGACGCCGGGTGAGCAGAGCAGCCTCGCTGGGCTGTGCGTGACAGCGGGACGGGGCGCAGGCTGCATTTCCCACTCAAACAGCACTATCAAGAGAGATTCTGCTTTAGCAGAGACACCAATATAAATTTTTTCTTTCTATTTAGGCTCTGCCTGAGAAGATGCAAGTTCCTGCAGCTTGGGGACCCCGCTGGCCTCTCACTAGATGCATTTCATCCCCTAGGCACGTTAGCCAGGTGCGCTACTGCTAAGCAGAAACACATGTGTGCGCTGGTGATATCTGGGGAGGAAATTCCCCAAATTCACAGTGCCACCCGTGCCCGGGTTCTCCCCAAAAGCAGAGCCCCAGGTGACGGTACTGGGGACCCCTTCACTGCCACTCCTGAGCTGTGGGAGCTGCCAGGCGCTGGAGGCAAACACGAACACCTCGATCCCATGAGATGGCGGCTGCCAGAAAGGTGTCACCCCACCTGCCTCATGCTGTAAAAGCACATGTTACTGAATCACACACCTTTTTGGGTAACCGATGTCTGCTGTGGTATAAAAAAGTCATCTCTCGTCTCAGACACCTTCGGTGTGGCAGCTGCTGGCAGCAAACACGCTGGCACAAGCTTCAGCCGGAGGTGCGGGCGGCACATGCATCTCTCTGCAAAATGAGCTTTCGCACTACTTTATCTTAATTCCCTCAGAGATCTATCATCTTTCTCAAACCCTGGAATTACTTCACTGAATCCTACAAAACCCCCCAGGGATGCTGCAAGCTCAATTTCCCTGACTTGTCATTCTCGTGCCCAAATCCACTGAATATGCAGATCCGCAACGCTACCCGAAAGAGCTGACTCCTGACCGAATAGTCCACAGCGCCTTGGCAGCATGTCATTGCTAACATGGAGCCTCAGCAATTCACAGGCAGAGAAAATTCAGGTGGGGGAAGAAACCCAGAAGATGCATTTCCAACACCGACACAGCCCCATGCTCGCCCGAGGGCCACGGCCCATCTTCCGTCAAAGCTCTCGCCAGCACAGAGCCTGGGAAGTCAACCGATACTCTCAGGCACACGCACAGGAGTAGTTTTTACATCAGCATCACCCACAAAGTGCTTAAATAATATTTTTCAGAAGCCAGTTAGCGTTTATAAACACCTACTGAAGTGGTGATGGGTTTGCAGCTAGGGCACGTTACTGAGAAAAAAAAAAATCTATTATTGCATTCTACGTGGTTTTGCATTGTAATAATTGACCTGCTGCTGCCAAAAATGGTCTTTTATTACCTCACATCCTGCCATCATATTATTTAACTTAATTGTGCTTGAATGTTAACTTGGCTGAGAAACTGCTTTTAATTTTAAGTCATGTTGCATTAAGAATAAACCTAATTAAAGAAATTACTGAAGTCATAAGCTGACAATAAAAAATATGATAATGTTCAGATTAAAATTTGTAAGGAGAAATCAATGACTACTTGAGCACGACCCACGGCATTTCCTAGGATGTTTCCATCCCGCAGGAGCGTGCCCGTCGGGAACATGGCTGACACGCAGCCACGTCCCCATCGGTGTTACAGGGGGGTTTGCCGCCCAACATGGGTGCTGCACAGCTGAACACGCAATGCAAGGGACGTGCAACACCCAGCTACAAAACAATTTACAAGCTGCTCTGGTAGTTTAATGCTTTAGTAACTAACCACCCCGTGGGTTGTGCTAGTAGGATTTTTCTGGGTTTCAAGCCTCGTGAAACGGGAGGTGGTGGCTCCCCACGAATACCCTCGCTGTCCCTAACCCTTCATCCCAGCGCTGCCCTTCAGAGGATATTTTTGGAGCGGTCACATATCACAAAGCCCTTCGGCATGACAAAATTTAGGTGAGCATTAGTTACTAATTTTTTTTCAGCTGCCAAATATTCAACATTCTTGTAAGCCACAATAAACTAAAAAGAAAAATTGCAACAAGTTGCTCTCATTTTTTCAGAAAAAAACCCCAAAATTTTCAGCTACCAGAACACTTGGCTGTGAATTAGCTTTTAATTTTAAGCATTCTTACATTAATAGTATGACTAATTAAAGAACTTACTGAAGCCATAACCCAACTAACTAAGCAGAATATAATAATGTTCAAGTGAAACTTTAAACGAAGAAATCATTAAAGACTTCTGTGTTATACAGTTTTTTCTGCATAGTAGAGGCCACATCTGATCTCTTTCCAAAACAAGAGTCTTTCTTTCAAAGTAGAAAAAATCAAGAAAATCCAAATCTTTTTGGTTTCAGGCCTTTTTCTCTGTTTCCAACCAATGAAGCTGTAACGTGGAGCAGCACAACCTTGCATCCCTAATCTTGCTGGGGATGTGCGCCCTTTGAGACTACTTTCCAAGGCAAAGACAGACTTTGGAGATCCTCCATTTGCCACTTGGGACCTCATTTCTCTGACAGAAATACGAGCCAAACACGAGAGCTCAGCTTTCAACCTAGAGCATCTTCTGAAAAATTAGAGTCCAAGCCATAAACTAACTGGGCCACAAAAAGGACTGTTTATTGCTCACCACCCACCACCATTTAAATACACTGGGATAATTTGACCAGATAAACATATTGGCAATAGGGAAATAGTTTCCCCTGCTGGTTCACATCCAACTATTTCAAAGAAAAAGAAAAGTCCTCAAAGCGTGATACTCCTTTCTCGTACGTGGGAGTTTAAAGAGCAACAACCATGCTGCGAGAGCATCTCCTCAGTGGGCTTAATTAAGTGAATTTGCCCAGAGAGTAATTACCACCGCATGACCAACAAGGGGAGGAGGCTGCCCAGAGTAAGTGCTGTGCCTCCTGCGTACTCCAGAGAGAAATACATTTCTCCCCCCAAAACCCCACCCAACGTTAAAATGTGAGCAAGCAGCTTGACGAGCGCCTGAGTTAACGAGGATCCCTGGGAAGTCACCTCTCTGCCCCGCCGTGTCCCTGACTGCAGATTATCCAGTGGATGGGCTTTTATCAGAGTTGTCCCGGTACTGACTTTCTGCTGCTTTTCCATTGGTTCAAAGCTTTTCTTCGTCTCTACCTGCCCTTCTTGAAACACATTGCCATTTTTGAGACTTTCTCCCAGGGAAAGGTGGGGTGGCAACGCCCAACAGAGGTGACATTGCAGCAGAGTGTCCAACAGCCCAGGGATTACGAGCTCAAGCCAAACATCTCGGCAGCCAGATCTCTGAGTGTGTGCCGGTCCCCCAAGTAACCTCCAGGTCTCAGGTCAGAAGCTCCAGCTACGTTGATCCAGATCAGCCCAACACCTTGTTTGAGTGAATCAGCGTTTTCCCGCATGAAAAAAAGATATTTCTGGAAATTTCCCACCATGATTATTTGCTCTAGCTCTTAATAAGCAAGCCCAATGTGGCGCAGCACTGAAAGGGGTTACCCAGAGAGCATCCCAGGAGGTCTTCAGGACTCAGCATGGCAAAGCCAGGGCCGTCCTGGTCCAGTGCTGGTGATGGTCCCACTACTAGGGACTAGAGCCCTGCAGAGGTCCCTTCCAACCAAAACTGCCATGAGTCTCCCATCCAGCATCTCCCCCTCTCTTTCCCAACACCTCCCTGACTCCCTAAGGCAAGGCTGATGGCCTCTGACTTGCTGCTGTTAATGCATTTCTCCAGGCTTCTCTTCAATTATAGAGAGGAGCAGGAAAGTTATCTCAGAATGGAAAAGATAAGGTGGAGGAGCAAAGCGTGAAATTCCCTTCCTCGGTTCCAGCTCAGCTAAGGGAAGATGTCCCAGGTGCTCCCAACGGGGCGGCACAATCAGAAACATA